TGTCCCTTTTGTTATTTCTTAAGGCAAAATAATCAAGGGCTAGCATTTATATAGCATCCTGAGATTTGCACAGAGCTATATTATCTCATTTGATTTTAACAGCAGTGTCAAATAGGGGTTACTGTCACCCCCATCATATAGATGAGGAAATTCAAGCTAAAAGAGGTGAAATGATTTGTCCAGGGATACGTGGTGTCTAAGACAAGATTGGAACTCAGGTCTTACTGCTTCCCAAGTCTGGCATACTGTCCACCAACCATAATTTGTTCAGCTGTTCCCCAGTTAATAGGCACGCTCTTTTGTTTGTAGTTCTTTGCTAAAATAAAAAAATGCTACTATAAATATTTTTACATATAAATACTTTGCCTTTGAGCTCTTGGAGACATATGGCTAATAGTGGTATTGCTGGGTCAAAGGGTATGCATAGGTAAGTGACTTTTTGGATGGAGTTGCTTTCCAGAATGGTTGGACTCTACTTTATAGTTCAACTAAGGGTACATTTGTGTACCTATCACATATGCCCTTGAACAACTGCCGTTTCCCTTTTTTTGTCATGTTTTCAAATCTGATGAGTGTGAGGTGAAACTTCAAGTTTGTTTTAGTTTGCCTTTGTCTTATTAGTGATTTGAATAATTTTTTCCTATGCTTGTTAGTAGCTTATGTCCTTTTTAGAACTGCTTGATCATAGCCTTTGACCACTGAACTGTATATAACTAGTACCAAAGGACGGAAGTTATAGGGAAGCAAATTTGTACTTAATACATGACTCTGATTCTTCCTAACTAGTTTTTCTGATTTCATGGAAATGAGGCATGAGACTAGCCTTAGGTAAAATAATACCTTAGTCCAAAATTTGATTCTCCCTCTATAATTTTTAAAAATCTTTTATTTTTCAATTAACAAGCATTTATTCTCCTTTCCCCAATTTAAAATAAAAAAAAGTCTTACAAATCAAACCAAATCCCACATTATCTGTGTCCAAAAATGTGTGTCTCATTCTGTATCTGGAATCTATTCTCTCTCTAACAGAAAGTAACAGGTATAGGTCATCATTAGCTCCCTGGAATCATGGTTGATCACTGCTTTGTCAGAGTCCTTAATTCTATCAAAATTATATTTACAGTGTTGTTATTTTATTAATTGTTCTCTTGGTTTTGCTCACTTGACTGTATTAGTTCATACAAGTCTCCCAGGTTTCTCCAAAACCATCCTTTTTACTCTTTCTTACAGCATAGTAGTACTCCATTATATTCATATACCACAATTTGTTTAGCCATCCCCTAATTGACAGACATTCTCTTAAGTTTCTAGTTCTTTGCCACTCCAAAAAATAGAACTTCTATAAATATTTTTGGATTTATGTGTCCTTTTCCTCTTTTTTAAAAAAATATTTCCCTCTATTCTCGATTTTGCCCCTGTCCTGATAATAATAGGGAAAAGGTTAGGGTGGCAGTAAAAAGGAAGAAAAGGCGACAATGCTCAAAGGGAGAGAGAGAGAGAGAGAGAGAGAGAGAGAAAAGGAATGTGGATTAAAAAGACCAGGAGGGCTTAGTGGGAAGACTGTGGGAGGACAATGGAATTACCTTCTAGGGCACAGGGCTCATTTGGGTGATTTGGAAGATCTCCATTCTTTTGGGGGGGGGGCTAGGCAATGGGGTTAAGTGACTTGCCCAGGGTCACACAGCTAGTAAGTGTTAAGTGTCTGAGGCCTGATTTGAACTCAGGTCCCCCTGAATCCAGGGCCGGTGCTCTATCCACTGTGCCTCCTATCTGCCCCAGAAGATCTCCATTCTTTAGGGTGTTAATAAAATAGAGTTTTGGAATTGATATCCCTTAGTATTAGTCTGTAGCCTTTTCACTGGAAGTATAAATTAAATGGAATTATCTTTTAATGGAGAAACATAAGAGCTCAGAAGCCATAAGACCAATAATAGAGAATTAGATTTTGTTGAGGTGCCAAGTATCAGGTTGGAGTTTTAACAGGCTACCATATTTGTCTTTTTTATTCCTTCTTTTAGCTTTGCATTTTGATCTTTGCTATAACAAGTTCATAGTATAGACCCACAAGCAAACTATTGCAGTAATTGAAGCATGAAATGATGAAGGCCTACACTAGAGTGTTGACAATGGCAGAGGAGAAAATGGGGCATGTTCAAGAGATATTGCAAAGGTGAATTCAACATGCCTTTGCAATAGTTTGGCTGTGGTGGGGGAGAGAGGCAGGGAATGAGAGATAGGAATGCAGGATGACTTCTAGGTTGCAAGTTTGAGGGACTTTAAAGATAGTATTGCCCTCTACAGTGGGAGTGGGGGATGGGTTTAGGAGGAAAGATAATGACTTCTGTTTTGGACATATTGAGTTTAAGATGTCTACTGGACATTCAGTTGTAAATGTCTAAAAGACATTGAAAGGAGATGCCAGATTGGAGTCAGAGAGTTTTGGAAAGGATAGACAAATTTGAGAATCATCATAAAGATGATAATTAAATCCATGGAGCTGATGAGATCACCAGGTAAAGTAGTATTAAAAGGAGAAGAGAAGAGGGCTCTGGACAGAACCCTGAGTTCTAACCTGCAGTTAGAAGGTGTGATTTGGATGAGGATTCAGCAAAGGAGACGGAAAAGAAGCAGTAAGATAACACAAGAACCAGAAAAGACTGATGTCCTGAAAACCTAGAGGATATCAAGAAACAGAGATGATCATTAGTGTCAAAGGCTGCAGAGAAGTCAAGAAGAATGAGAATTGAGAAGTAGCCATTAGGTTTGGCAAGTAAGAGATCATTAGTATCTTGGAGAGAAGAGTTTCAGTGGAATGATACGGTCAGAAGCCAGATTGTAAGGGGTTAAGAAGAGAGTAAGAGGAGAGAAGTGGAGACACCTATTGTAGGTGGCCTTTTTGAAAAGATATAGAATCATAGTTATCAGGAATGTAAGGATCAAGTTAGGGTTTTTGTTTTGTTTTCAGAATGGGAGAGACATAGGCATGTTTGTAGGCAATAGGAAATAAATCAGTAGAAAGGGAGAGGTAAATGAGAGAGTGGAAGTAACAGAGGGGGCAATCTGTTGGCAGAGATGAGATGAAGTGGGATCATTTGAACAAGTAGAGGGGTTAGCCTTAAGACTATCAGTTGTAGAATGGTGCTGATCTTTATTAGGAGAGGTAGTTTCTCATGATAAACTCTATACAGATAAAATCAGAGGTCCAATCAAAACAAAATCAAAGAAGTTCAAGTAAATTAATTCTAAACTATAGTTATCCTTTTTACTCATTATAATTCTTCTCTAAGCATTAAATATTTGCCACTTGTTTAGGAGAGACTTAGAAGTTCATGAAAGAAACTAGGCAGCTCAGACTATCATTGACACAAACTTTAATTTGTAGGTTACTGTTTTGGATTTTGCCCAAGTGTTGGTAGTAGCTCAGTACAGTTTATATTTATTGGCTTTTTCTGGCCTTAATGAAGGATAGAATCCGGCCCTGTGAAGTCACTGATATAGGAAGAAACTTTCTACCAATGTGGTTTGGTACCTTTTGTACAGTGACTTGCCAAAGGTTACATAGCCAGTATGTATCAGAGGCAGAACTTGAATCCAGAACTGCCTTCAAGGCCAGTTCTCTGTCTCCTATACCATACTACAGTCTTGTCAAAAAAATAATAATGGCTCACACCTTATTGGTCAGGCAGCTTGTAATTTAACACATGAATGAACGTAGAAGCTGTTCATGGCTCTTTTGCCTTGAAATGTGGTTCTCATTTTTCTTAAGGTATTTAACAAGGCTTTGGCAAGGAGAAAGACCATCTCTTCATCAGAGACAGGAGCAAAGGAGAGTTTGAAGAATAATTTTGAAGGAGCAGCTAGGTGTCGTAGTGGATAGAGCACCGGCTTTGGAGTAAGGAGGACCTGAGTTCAAAATCTGGCCTCAGACACTTGACAGTTACTAGCTGTGTGACCCTGAGCAAGTCACTTAACCCCCAGTTGCCTAAGCAAAAAAAAACAAAAAACAAAAGCAAACAAAAAAAAAGAATAATGTTAAGTGAATCTGAGGTATAGAATTCCAATAAGGATGAGGTTCTTTTTTTTTTTTAAAGTGAGGGAGAAGAGGGAGCTCAAGAATAATAAACTGTTTTCTTGGTAAAGTGTGAAGTGAGATCTTCTGTAAGGGAATTGGAGGTGTTATTCTAGGAAGCTTGAGGAGAGAAGAGATTTTAGACAGATGGTGTGTGACGTGTTAAGGAGTCAGTTAAGGAAGAATAAAAGGATTGCTAGCAGTGCAAACCAAGTTGAGTTTAGATAATATAATTAGTGGAGCCAGTCAGCACAGTTGCATGACTTAGGGTTTTGAATGCAGTTAGATAGAGCTTGTCTTTAAAAAAAAAATAAACGCCAAATGGTTTGTAATTTTAAAAAAAAATTATGAAGGAAATAATTCTGATGCCTGAGAAACGTTTTTAGTTAAATTGAATGTCACTATTTTAGTTCATGCTTTTTAGAGAAACAAAGAAATATTGATGAAAGAGCTATCTTCAGAGAAACCCATGACCTTGTTAATAATCCATCAATACTATAAGAAGAGTCTATAGCCAGACACTTATTTTCACAGTGCAGTCTCTTCTAAATTGTAAAAACAAATTTTGTTTTGTATATACATCAAAACAAGAAGGAAGAATTCTTTATATTTCATTTATGAAAGACAACTGGGAAAATTTCTGACATCATTTTTAATGTATCAGTGATCTGGTAGTACTGCAATTTTTCAAGACCGTGTATGGACTGAAAGCACTAATGCTTCTTTGTTGGTCAGATAGTTTAACTAGCACCAGGTTTTCTGAGAATGCTGAACACTCGTGTGACTAACTGGCTGCACTTAGTGACAAAGGATGATATACTCTTAGGTCTTTTCAAGCTCACCTTTTTTAGTTCATACATTGAATGCTTTAATTATTTTTAAGAGATTCTTATTTTAATGCCCTTAGTACTTTTTTCTGCCCAACTCACAGCAGGTAGCATTTTCACTTCATATCCATCCACCCTGGAAATCTTGGAACATCTTGTCATCTGCCCTGCTGCTGCCCTCCCTTCCCCATCTGGAACAGCATCATTTTCCGGACCAGAGACCATGCCTCCTTCCCTGGGTGAGTTAATCCACTCATCTTTGGAACTCCACTCTGGGTCTGAATGCCAACTCACCCAAACAACTATATCTAGCTGACCCCAGACCATGTTTCACATCCGCCTACTCTGGACGTCTTGGGATATCTTGCTATCTGTCCTATTGTCACTTGTATAACCTCCTCCCTTCCTCCTTCACATCTTGCTTAGAGAACAGTAATCAAATCAGTACTACCATTGCTTCTGGAAAGGGAATGACAACTGCCCTGTGGTTTCATTCATCATTCCTGTGACTTCCCAAACAAAAACTCTCTTCCCTAGCCATTACTACCCTATATATGTTGTCTCCCTCTTTTAGACTGTAAGCTCCTTAAGGGCAGAAATGTCACACTTCTGTATTTGTTTCCTGGAACCTAGCACAGTACATGGCATATAGGAGATGCCTAATAAATGCTTTTTCATTCAGTCAGTTCATTCATTCATTTACTAATATCAGACAAGAATTATAAATTTGAATATTCATTTCACTAAAGCGTTTTTGCAGACTTTAAGTATGTGATAGAGAATATACGTCACTTTTTGTATCCTTGCGTTTGATAATGTAGAAGGAAAACTTACTCGTTTCCACTAATTGAACACCTTCTTTTTATTCCCTAGACTATTCACATATCTTTTTTTCTTCTTTGCTTTTTAAGAGAATAATTAGAAGCCTTTTATTATTTAATTAAAAACCTTCAAACTTGTCAAAGGCATTCATCTTCAGTGAGAAGTAAATCCATTCCCTTTTGTGAAGAAAATGTTTCTTACTACAACCATTATACAGAAATCAGTCTTCTCTCACTCGTGATTAAAGTTTTATTTTTTAATTGTAAAGGGCAAAGAAGAAACAAACATTCAAAGGATAGAAAATAGCCGGTGACTTGATGCTTTCAAAAGAACCTTCTAAAAATCTTAAGTTTTAGTCTGGCATGTCTGGGAAGCGAAAGGTATTGACATGTTTTGTAGAAGCAGTGAATGAGAAACAGATTCTTACAGAGTAGGATAATCCATGCTCTTTACCCAGTGTGACAAGTGCCTATACATCTGACCATCCACGAAATCACTGTGTATGGTTTTATTTCCTGTTTAGTTTGTTAACTTTTTCCTTTCAGTTTTCAGTCTTTATAAAACCATGTATTGTTTGTTAGAATTATCTGGAATGCTTAGTTTCAAATTTGGTAGCTTTGATAATTTAGTTTTTTGTTTGTTTCAAAGAAAATTCATGTTTTCCAACAGTAGAAAAAAGGTTTTTATCTTATTTATTATTTAATACTAGCCTAACTTCAAATAGTAGACAATTTATTTTATACTTTGTTTTATTAAAACACGAAATTTCGAAAATAACTCTTCCTCTCTGTGAATAATTGAAAAGGGTTTGGTTTTGGTAGGAGTATTTTATGTTTATAAAAAAAGTCTGATACAAATTCTAATATTAATATTGTTCTTATAAATCAAAGTTATTAAACTAGTTAATTTTTCTTTGTCGTTAGGATTGACTTTGGCACCAACTAGATGTTAATGGTTTCACTCACTCTATTTCTGATTGTGTTAACTCCTTTTTTAAAAAACTCTCTCCCTAAAAGGGGAAAGTGGAAAGAAATTTATTGGTGGTACTTGCTCTTTCTCTCAGCTATATAAAATACAAGCAATGAGACTTCTGAAAAAATAAGGGTATCAATGAATATTTTTTGCACCCTTTAGTTCTGAATTAGTTACCACCCTGATTTTAAGATTGAGTTGTTTTCTTGGAGCTACAATGAGAGAGAACATAGAATTGGGAATTAATATAAATTATAAATTTATTTCAGTAATAATGGCTAATATTTATATGGTATTTTTAGGTCTGCAAAGTGTTCTCTATGTCATATATGTACATATGATATATTCATAATTTCACAATAACCCTGGGAGGTAGATGCTGTTAATATTCCCATTTTACAGATGAGGAAACTGGGGCAGATAGAGGTTAACTGGCTTGTTCAGGGTCTCACAGCTAGTAAATGTTTGAAACAGGATTTAAATTCAGGTTTTCTTTATTTCAGGTCTAGTGCTCCCACTCTAATATACTACCTAGTTTCCTCTAAGGCAAAAGAAAAAAAATTACAAAGACCAACCTCCTAAAATCTTATACTTGGATATAAAATATTGGGACTTCTTTTTTAATAGAGAAATGGCATGAACATAAGGTATTTTTGAGAGGGCAAGTTTGTCCTCTTATGCATAGTATCTAATGTAATATGTGATTAGAATGATTTTTGGCATTGATTTTGTTAAAATTAATTTATTTTGATTTATCAACAATCACTTCCATATGCTTTTGAGTTTAAAATTTTTCTCTCCCTCCCTTCTCACCACTCTCCCCAAGATGGCACACAATCTGATATAGGCTATACATAACACATTCCTATTAAACATATTTTCACATTAGTGATATTGTAAGTAAGAATGAGAACCAATAGGAGGAACCACAAGAAAGAGCAAACAAAAGTCAACAGAAGAGAAAAAAAAATAGCAAATAGTATGCTTCGATCTGCATTCAAATTCCATAGTCCTTTCTTTGGATGTGGATAGCATTTTCCATCATGAGGGCCTTTGGAGATGTCTTAGATCCTTGTATTGCTGGGAAGGGTTAAGTTTATCAATATTAGTCATCGTATAATGTGAGGTGGGGGGGGGAGCCACTGAACTAGTTCAGAAAACCCAGACCCTAGTCCTGATTTTGCCATTACTTTGCCTGTATGGCACTTTCTCTGGCCCTCAGTTTTTGCACCTATAAAAAAAAATTGGATAATTGCTATGGCTATTTGTAGCTCTACAATGCTGTAACTTATTCTTGATTCTAATAATAAAAAAACTGATCTTTTTTTTAGGCAATTTTCCAGTTACCTGGATACAAAACTTCCTTTTTTCCTCTCTCATCCATTCTACTATGTATTCACCATATTATGTGTTTCTGGGGGTCCTGGTTATTGCAAGCTTGCAACAGTGTGATACCATAACCAAGAAAACTTAAGCAATCTTAAATTTCCAGGTGTCCAGGATTAGGAAAGTGAGAGTCCCACTATACAGTCTTATCATATCTGGAATATTGTGCTCGGTCGAGAACACCACATTTCAAGAAAGATACTGATACATTCAAGAGTATTCAGAGGACAGCAACCAAAAATGACTTAGGTTCATGCTGTATGATCAGTTGAAGGAACTGAAAGATGGTTAGTATGAAAAAGGAAAAATTTAGAGGAAGACTTGATGGTTGGAATTAGAGTTGTTTTGCTTGAACCCAGAGGGAAGAATTGAGAGCATTGGTGGAAGTTGTAAAGTGGAGAATTTAAGCTTGATATAAAGAAAAACTTTATAACAATTAGGGATAAACATGAGTGAAAGTGCCCTGGTACTTGAGGGAGGGAAGGTAGTTAGTTCTCCCTCACTAGAATTCACTCAGCTGAATTTTGTTCCTGTGATTATTCAGATCTAGGGTGATCTTGATGACTCCTGCAATCCCTTTAAGCTCAGATCTGTAATTTTTCCTTCATAAGGTTTCTTTATTTCCTTTCCTGCTACAACCATTTTGGTCTCAGCCTTCTTCATTTGCACTCTCTCTCTACTAGATTCTTCCTTCCTGCCTACAATTCATGCCCAGATATGTCTAGTTTTTAAAAATGTTCCCTTGATCTTTCTACAACATCCATTTACTACCCTATGGCTGCCTTCCCATTCACTTCCAAGCTTTTCACGAAGTGTTATCTATATCCAAAATCTTCAGTTCCTTACTATTCATTCTCCTATTCCCTTGCTGTTTGGCTTATGTCCTACCACTTCCCTGAAACTATGCCCTCAAAGGTCACACCATTGACCTCCTAATCCCCATATCCAGTGGCCTTATTTTAGTTCCTCATCCTTTTTGTCCTCTTAGCATTTGATGTTGACTTCTCTCCCCTTTTGAATACTTTCCTTCCTTGATTTCAAAGATAAACTATACTCCTCGTCCTTCTCTTACCTTTCTAACCACTACTTCTCTGTCTTTCACTAGTCCTTCATATTCTTCCTGTTCCTTTAAGCCGTATTTATTCTCCATTGTCTTTGACAATTTGATGCATTCCCTGAACTTCATTTATCACTTTTATTCAGCCAACTCCCATTGTATTTGAAAATAATTTTATGTAAAGAATTTGAACCTGTGTCTGATGGGTAGCATGGTGGATAAAGTGAAGGACTTGGGTCAGTCAGGAAGATCACATTTCTAATCCTGTGTCAGATACTTACTAGCTGTTGCACTGAACAAACCGTTTAACCTCTCTCAGCCTCAGTTTCATCATCTGTAAAATGGTAATAGTCATGGCACCTGTCTTATAGGATTTTTGTGAAGATCAGATGAAACAGCATATAAAGCACTTTATATACCTTTAAGTGCTATATAAATACTAGGTATTATTATTAACTGTTATTTTACTTGGCTAAACTTAAGAAAGAAGTAGGTTAAAGGTAAGTAAAAAGTCCTAGAAGATAGATGAGACTAGAGGATCACAGATTTTTAGAGCTAGCTGGAAACTTAGAAGCAATTAAGTTCACTCCCCTAATTTTAAAGATAAAGAAACTGAGGTGCAAAGAAGCTAAGCAGCTTGCCCAGGATCACACAGCTAGTATCTGAGGTAGGATTTGAACTCAGATCCTCCTGACCCAAGTCTACTGCCCTATTCAACTGTCACACTGCCTCATATAACAAAATAATTTTTTAAATATTTAAACTTGAGTTTTAGGAGGAGGTGGAATCTCATGAAACCTGTTTCTTTTAAATTAGAGGAGTATAAAATTTTTTTTTTTGGCTAGGCAGTGGAGTTAAGTGACTTGCCCAGGGTCACACAGCTAGTAAGTGTTATGTGTCTGAGGTTGGATTTGAACTCAGGTCCTCCTGAATTCAGGGCTGGTGCTGTATCCACTGTGCCACCTAGCTGCCTGGAGTATAATTATTTTTTTTTAATGTTTT